ATATAATTATGATTCCGATAATTGTAATATATTAATAATGTAATAATATAATTATGATTCCGATCTGCAATGTATTTTAAGTGCTTTTACATTTATGTCTATGTTCTGTTCTTTTTCTCTTCTTTTTTCATCTTCTCTTGAATTGGATAAATATATTTTTTCTTATTTCATGATTTATCCTCTACTAGTTGAAAAATAAGGATGAGGGAAGCTCAAGGTTATGTAGATACAAAAAGAGAAAATGTAAAACATAAAACAAAAAGATGGTTAAGACAGACACAAAAATACTACATAAATAATAACTTGAAGATAAGTAATATACCAAGATTCATGAGCAAAGGAGCATTTAGGTCACAAAGCATAAAAAATTTCATGGGCAAAAAAGTTTTCATGATACCAAAAAGATGTTATAATTGTACATCTGGAGGCATTTAGTAACAATTGCCCATCAGTTGTAGACTGGATAAAGAGAATGCGGCTTTTCTATACAATGGAGGACTACTCCGCCATAAAGAATGTAAAACTAAACCGGATGTGGGGGCGTACACCTGTCATCCCAGCACTCGGGAGGCTGAGGCAGGAGGATCGCTGCTTGTTTGAGACCGGCCTGGGTTTCATAGTATCAGTTGAAGACTGGATAAAGAAGATGTGGTTTTTCTATAAAATGGAATACTACTCAGCTCTAAGGAATGAGAATTTAGAGTCATTCATAGTAAAATGGATGTATATTGAGGCCATACTCTTAAGTGAAATAAATAAGACACACATGTGTAAATACCAAATAGTATCTCTGGTGTGAAAAACTAAAAGTGTAAATAAGGTCCAAATTGTATAATTAATAAAGTGAAATAGGAAGAAAAGGGCTAAAGGTGTAGGGGAAGTGGGAAGGGTAGGGGAAAGGAAATAAGGGAAAAGAAAAAATATGAGAAAACAAAAAAATGGAAACAAAGTTTTTGTAAATAGGGAAGTTTGGAGGGGGTGAAGGGAAGGCAGGGGTACGGCGAAAAAATGAGAACCAAGATCTGTCATATAAAGGTACTGAATAATAAATGTAACTATACTGTATACTTAAAAGGTACCAGTAAACTCAATGAGAAAAAAAATGATTCTGTGATCCATTATATACAGATAGTTTCAGTTGTATTTGGAGAAAATATTGAAGCTCATAACTCACTAAAATTGAAATGAGATTATAATGTTTTGTAGGTTTACTCTGACGCCTGCAACATAAATTTTGTTTTCTCATATATATATATAAAATGAACGTTTTCATTCACTTATATAAATGACAGTCAAATATATGCAATATTTAAGGAAATCAATATCCTAGAAAAATTAATCAAATTAAAAATGAAAAGAACTTAGAAGAGATGAAATAATTCAAGGAGAAATAAAAATTATGAAGAAAACTTGTACTATAAAGGAGATATTTGAGAAAACATGTATTTAGAACACAAAACCAGAATGATATTAATAAAGAAAATAGAAAGTAGAAAGGAAGGAGAGAGGGGGAAGGTGAAAGACTATAAAAGATAAAGCAAGAAAAAAGGAAATTAAAGAATTCTTGAAAAATAAAATTATAAATGCTAAGTAAAATTGAATAGAAAATAAAAGAGTAAAGGAAAGAAAGCAGTAAGACAGTAAAAGATAAAAAGTTGAAAAGCATAATTGAGAGGGATACAAATAATAATCCAGCAGTTCTAGTACACTTCTAATAGACTGAGAAAGAGACGAAAGCAAAAATAGAGACAAATACTTGAAAAAGAGGCAGAATAATAGATGATTAGTTTTCAGTATGACAGGGCCCGCCAAATGATGAAAAAGATCCCTATTTCAGAATTTAATTCAAAAAATGGCAAAAATAGAATAGCAAAAAATCTAGAAGAGAAAAAGAATGAACATTTTACTCCCAAATATGCCATTAGACATCTCATCAGAAACACGATGATTTCAGATTACAAAGCAGTATAGGTAATGTTAAGGAAATGAAATAGGATGTAGGGTGTGGCAAAGCTGGTTGGGGAATTAAGTGGGTCTTGTTAATTACAAGATCCCAGGACAGTGCCAAATAATTCCCATGATTCTGTATGTGGAAGTTCTTGGTTGGCTCCTACCAGATGTGGACAATGTGTAAGGACACAGATCACAGGAGGAGCCCACTTACAGTGATACTTCTTGGTAGCTCACTCTGTCTCTCAGATACAAGGTGTACTTTTATTTTTGTTCTTTGAATTTTCTCTCTTGTTTGACCCAAGTTCGCTCTCTAGAGTCAGGTTTTCCCTTATTCCTTTACTGTCACTTTTCAGATAAACGTTTAGCACCATTTTTGGCTTGTCTTGTTGAATGCTTTGCTCAAGTCAAAAAGGACCTTGAATATATTTTTAGTGGCAAGCTGATTCTGAGAAAACAGAAGAGCTCACACACTGACAACAATGCATGACCTTGGAAGTCTCTTCTTAGCCTAAATTGCATGATCCACAAATTCCATCAAAAGAAATGGTACCGAATAAATCTGTAACCTGGAAAATGGTAATTTTTTTTTCAACTTTTTTGGTTGTGGTCATCTTTCCCTCTCAGGGCTTGATAGGCTTACTGCTTATCCACAAGTGTTTTTTTCCAGGCAGTACCTAATAATGGGGGCTGTTTCTTATTTATCAAATTAGTGAAGATTTTATAACTGAGCCAGCACTTGACTTTATCAGGAAAAAGAAAAAAAAGATTAACAATGGGCCTTAGTAGAGGGGTTAAAATATAGAAGATTTAATAGAAAACCTAAGGAGATTTGGAAAACTTGTGTTATTTGGTGTCATGATCCCACTTCCAAGAAACTTTCTGTTTAATATCCATTTCTGAGCACCTGCATTAATCCGTTATTTATGACAAATAAATAACAAAATGCCATATGTAAATGACCTATAATTAATGTGAACTGACAAGTAAATAACAGTTTATAGAAAATAATAACAGAGTAAACTATCAATAAGCAGAAGAGTAAAGAACATAAAAAAATCAAAACTAAAATTCTGATACCTGCAAAAACAACACAAATGAGGATATTTAGTAGTGAAAATTCTGGGATGTCACTAAGGGGTAAGAAAGAGACAAAGTTTTAGATTTAAAAATAATTAAGATTATAATTAAATTTTTATAAAATGATTTATACAAAAATCAGCATAATATGACCTAGGAAACATAGAAGCATATAAATGAAGCAGTAATTGATTTGCAATATGAAAAAAAGTAAATGACTGATACTTAAAATATATATAATTACAATTATAAATAAGGAAGAGTCTATAACTTCTTTCAGGGCAATTAAAAAGTAAGGCTAGTCATAACTATTGAAGCATAAGTTTCAAATGTTCACCAAATGATTTCTCTCAAAATGAAAATAAATCATTAAGCGCAAATGAATTTAATTTTAACTTGAAGCACATAAAATTTTCACTACAACAAATACCAAAGTAGGAAACTGAAAAGTTATCATAGACTAACTTCTCCAAAAAATTCCCTGGAGCCAGATGATTTTACGGTCAGACTTGGAAACTTTCAATACTTCTGTTGAATTAATTTTCTCATATCACAGACAAAGAATAAATATTACTTAATTCAATCAATTAATTTGAAATTGTGCTATTCATTTAAGAACCTAAAACAGGTAACAGAAAACTGACTTCATGTAACATAGCTTGTCCTCAAATGAAGAGAAAAATGCTAACTTTAATCTATATGAATTTCAATATTAGACAAAATTAAAGTTCAGCTCAAAGAATTATAGAAACAAATATTGGCTTCAAATTCAGAAAGATGTTTTGTTCCTCCAAATCAAGCATTACAATAAAACAATACTTTTTTTAGTTAGGGAAATTTTCAAACATATAGAATAATTTCATCATATTTTTTATCAAAAATAACTTCATAGAGGCAGACTCAAAAATTGTAACTGTACTCCCCCAGGGTGCCTGCATGATAATCTAATGCTGACAAAGGACAGAGCAAAGCAGCAACATCAGAATGAGGAAGGTGCCTACATTTCTCTTCTAATGTCAAAAAGAAATGATTTGACAAAACCAATGCAGTTTACTTCGTTTCAACAAACTGAATAATAAAAGAAGATATGAAAGAAGCGAGGCAAGTATACTGCCAAAGAAGAGAAAGGATTAAAGAAAAGTGAGTCCCCTGCGTTTGCTATTACCAGCATCTTTCTAACTGACCATATGCTGGATTAGGAACTGGTAGCTTATTTATACTGCAATGTGCAGATTTAAACTTCTCAAATGTAAAAAGATTTTTCGTATTCATGGGTTACCCTTTCTCACTTCACATATCCAGAAACTGAGGGCTGAAGATTTTCAGGGCTTCCCTAATATTATAAGAGGTTTAGATAAAATGTAAAAGTACACGTAAACTAAAAAACTGATACTTGTATCTTCTTAGTCTTCTTAATAGTCTTATAATGATCAGTTTATAATAAATTAACATCGTGTTTCACATAAAATGATCCCAAATATATAGATTATATTTTAGAATAAGATGTGTAGCAAGGGATTGAGGGGAAAAAATGTAACTGTCACCTTCTTATAGTCTCTGGAATGGAAAATAAATGGGGTCCTTCAGGCCAGCCAAAGAGACTGAACCACGTCTGAGCTGCATTTACAACCTTCTCATAGAAGTTATGTGCCAGAGATCCTTCTTTAGGAAAAAAGAATTGTTCAATTTTTTGAATTCCCAAAGATCGAACATCTGCTTTATTTGGTGTTTCACTTTCCTCCAGGTTCAAATGTTCAGGTAATTTTTCCATTCCTAAAAATCAAATCATACTTGTTTATAAAAATGATTACTTGACTATAGAGTAAAATATTACTGATTATTGCTATCTGTATGTAGACAAACTAAAATTCATTTTACAAAGTATTTTATGATCTTAAAGAATTTGAACCAAATTACTGTATTTTAAAATATGTAACAAAATATGCCGATTTCAATTACTCAAATGTTTTTTAAAATTATAAATTTTAAAAATGAAAGCAGTTCCATTTATTTCTTCCCATAATGGTAAATGAAAACATTCCCCAAAGTGGAACTTTTTACTTATAATTCCATAAGAAAATTGTCTTGACAACTCTTTGGGTTTCCATATTTGACAAAATTAAACCTCAACTCAAAGAATTACAGAAACAAAATATTGGCTTCAAATTCAGAAGGATTTGTTCTACAAATCAAGCATTTCAATAAAATTGTATTATTTTTTGGTTAGGGACATTTTCAAACATGTAGAATGATTTCATCATTTTTTTGTCAAAAATAAATTCATGAAAGCACATTAATTAGACAGTTCATATTATGTTGGCTTGGTCCATTCAATAAAAAAGGAAATTTTTCAATATTACTCGTATCTAAGGAAAGGAGTATATGAGCATTTAATTTCAAATAATAACAAATTCACATATTTATATGTGCTCACCACTTTCTAACATAGGTAATTTTGGATTCACCTAATGAATGAAATGACAAGTCCCTAGTTCTATAGATCCCAATTGTGCACAGAGGTTGCGTGTAATGTTACAACAAATTCATAAGGGCTCTGGAAGATATTTGACTTTAGTTAGATATTACTGTCACATCTACTAGACAGCACATAAGCTACTACTCTTAATTTTTTGTACAAGTGTAATTATTTGGTACTCATTTTGGCCTAGAGAAAATTGCCGAGTCATTAAAGGTGTTGTGAACCAAGAGAGCGTGTGCTATTGATCATTAGGTAAAATTCCCAAAGCAGATGACCCACTTAAGACTAACAACAAATTCATGGTTTTTGTCATGAATTTCTTTCTTGAAAATGCTTATCTTTTAAATTAAAACGAGATAAGAAGATGATATCATGTACTGGATTGGAGAAGTACAATAAGTATTTGCCACATACCAACAAAGAAGCTTTCCCTTTTAAATTCCACACGTTTTGGTTTAGTTCTAATGGACGTCCTTTTTACTAAAGGAGAGAGAAATGTAGAATTCCATTTGGTAAGCAAAAAACTGCCTCGATTCTTCATAGGATTTCCATTTATATCTACAAATGACACAATGGAGTACAGTAAGTAGAAAAAAAATTTTGGAACTCATTACCAAAGTATTTAACTAGAATTTCATAATAAAGTCTAACAATCCATTATACATCAAAATAATGAATAATGGGTTTCTCAATTGAGTAAAATTTATTTGATAAAGCATATGTTATAGTATATAGTTTATTACAAAATGAAGTGCTCAACTTTACCATAATCAAGAATATATAAAACATTTTAAATGTTTCGTCTATACATGTTGTTCAAAATAAAATATAAGGAAAGGGGCAAGAACAAAAGTAAATTTTTCCTAGTTAACTGTCTGAAATGAACTCAATGCTTGTTCATAAATTGAAAGCATTTTGCACAGATCTGTATTACAATTAGAACTGTACAAAAATATTAAAATTTGCAAACGTGGAAATCTCAATACCACCAAAGGTAGTGGTGGACAAGAAAAGCCAGTAGATATGATTAAGGCTTGCTATCAAAATGTATATTTAATTTATACATATAAACACACAGAGAAATGTATGTATATACTCATAGTCTAATTTTGTTTGACCTGTACAATTTCAAAATTCTTATTTTAAAAATTGACAACAGTTTTTCCTGAGCATTTTAATTGTGGACATGTTGTACAAACTCTTTAAAAAATGTATTTTTATCTTCAAGAGGAAAAAGGGGTCCTGAGGTCATGAGTTTATTGTGAGGATTACTTTTTTTTCATCATTGAATTTATTGGTACTTTTTAGGTATACAGTACAGTTACATTCATTACTGGGATCTTGTACTTTTACATGACAGGTCATGGTTCTCATTTTTCCCCCTTGTCCCTGCCCTAACTTCACCCCCTCCTCCCCTTTCCATTTACAAATATTTTATTTCCATTTTTTCATTTTATTCTATTTGTTTCCTTTCCCTTACTACCTTTCCCTACCCTTCCCACTTTCCCTACACCTTTAGTCCTTTACTTCATATTTCACATTGTCAATTATCTCATTAGGATCTTATGTACTATTATAGATTATTAGCGCCAGAGAAACTATTCGGTATTTACACATGTGTGACTTATTTATTTAACTTGGGAATATACCCTCAACATGTATCCATTTTTGTGAGGATTACTTTAAAGGCAATATCAAATATGAACAAACCAGTACATGTGAAATTTCTTTCACTCTTTCAATACAAAGCCATTCAGAATTTGCCATAGGATCCTTATCCAATAATGATGCATAAGCCCAGAATTCTTTGCCACTATACTTCTTAAAAGTGAATCTCAGAGAATCCAATGATAGAACAATTTACACCTACTTAAAAATACTGTCTTAGTTTTTACAAATAAATGAGAATGCCAATACAACATACAGGAATCTTTGGGACACAATGAAAGCAGTTCTACGTGGAAAATTCATAACATTGAATGCGCACACTAGGAAAACAGAGAGGGCTCAAATAAACAATTTAACGATGAAACTTAGACTCCTAGAAAAACAAGAGCAAGAAAAACCCAAAGCTCGAACAAGAGAGGAAATTATAAAGATCCGAGCAGAAATCAATGCAATTGAAATTAAGAAAATGATACAAAAAATAAATGAAACAAAGAGCTGGTTTTTTGAAAGAATAAATAAAATTGACAAACCCTTAGCTAATCTTATCAAAAAAAGGAAAGAAAAGGCTCAGATCCATGCAATTAGGAATGAAAAAGGCGAAGTCACAACAGATCCGAAAGAAATCCAGAGGATCATGAACACCTACTTTGAGAACCTGTACTCTAATAAAATGGAAAACACAGAAGAAATGGACAGATTTCTAGATACTTATGAATTACCAAAGTTGAACGAAGAAGATAAAAACATTTTAAACACCCCAATCACAATCAGTGAAATTGAAAATGTAATTAAAAACTTACCAACAAAGAAAAGCCCAGGCCCTGATGGATTCACTGCTGAATTTTACAAGACATTTAGAGAAGAACTACTACCATTACTCTTCAAACTTTTCAATGAAATTGAAAGAGAAGCTATACTTCCAAATTCATTCCTGGAAGCAAGTATCACTCTGATTCCCAAACCAGAGAAAGATACAACCAAAAAGGAGAACTACAGACCAATCTCCTTAATGAATATAGATGCAAAAATCCTTAATAAGATACTAGCAAACAGAATACAGAGGATTATTAAGAAGATCATCCATCATGACCAAGTCGGATTTATTCCAGAGATGCAAGGGTGGTTCAACATACGAAAGTCAGTGAATGTAATACATTATATTAACAAAGTCAAGGACAAAAACCATATGATCCTCTCAATAGATGCAGAAAAAGCATTTGATAAAATTCAACACCCATTCATGATAAAAACCCTGCAAAAAATTGGAATAGATGGTCTATACCTCAATTTAATAAAGGCTATTTATGAAAAACCATCAGCCAACATCATATTGAATGGCCAAAAACTGAAAACCTTCATGTTAAAATCAGGAACAAGACAAGGATGCCCACTATCGCCACTTCTCTTCAATATAGTTCTGGAAACATTAGCCACAGCAATTAGACAAGAGAAAGAAATTAAAGCAATAAAGATAGGAAAGGAAGAAGTTAAACTATCATTATTTGCTGATGATATGATACTCTACATTGAAGATCCAAAAAACTCCACCAAAAAACTTCTAGACTTAATTGACAGATTCAGTAGAGTATCTGGATACAAGGTGAATACCCAAAAGTCAATAGCCTTCTGATACACAAATAACAGACACACGTATATAGAAATAAGGGAAAAAATTCCTTTTACAATAGCATCCAAAAAAATGAAGTATCTAGGAATCAATCTAACAAAAGAAACAAAAGATCTCTACACTGAAAACTACAGCACTCTGAAAAAAGAAATTGAAGAGGATATAAAAAAATGGAAAGATATCCCCTGCTCTTGGGTAGGAAGAGTCAACATAGTGAAAATGGCCATAATACCAAAACTGTTATACAGATTCAATGCAATGGCAATTGAAACTCCAACACTATACTTCAAAGAACTAGAAAGAAGAATCCAAAAATTCATTTGGAACCATAAGAGACCTAGAATAGCAAAAGCCACACTAGGCAACAGACACATGGCAGCGCGTATAACAATTCCCAATTTGAAACTATACT